TCTCAAAAAAAAAAAAAAAAAAAAAAAGACTGTGCTACTGTGCTAGGCATTCTGCTTGCTTTTTTTTTTTTTTAAATTTTGGAGACAAGGTCTTGTTCTGTTGCCCAGGCTGGAGTACAATGGTAAGATTATAGCTCATTGCCACCTCTAATACCTGGGCTCAAGCCTTCCTTCTTCCTTAGCCACCCAAGTAGGTAAGACTACAGGTGTGCACAACCATGACTGGCTAATTTTTTAAATTTTTTGTAGAGACAGGGTCTTGCTATGTTGCCCAGGCTGGTCTCAAACTTGTGGCCTAAAGCAATCTTCCTGTTGCTGTATAAGCCACCTCATACCTCTAATCCCTGCACTTTGGGAAGCTGAGACAGGAAGATTGCTTTAGGCCACAAGTGTATTTAGGCCAGGCATGGTGTATTACTTATACTCCTCAAAAGATAAGAGGATTGATGTAGTTCCCATTTTACAGAAAAAACAAATGAAGAAACCAAAGCACAAATGTTCAAGTCACATAACCAGCCAGTGAGAGTGTCAAGATCCCAACTCAGGGCTCCACACCTGTGAAGCCCTCATTTTTTGCAGACAGAAGAGGAAGAAAACCTGAGATGGGCATGTGCGATGTGGGGAGACTGAGGCAGAAGGGTTTCACACTTACAGAGCACATGGAGCACAACTGGAGCAGAGGTGGCAGCCCCGGTGGGGAGCTTAGCCTTGCAGTGGTACACCCCAGCTTGGGCACGGGCCACCTGGGGGAAGGTGAGAGTGGGCATAGGCTCCACATGTAGTCGCCGGCCATTCAAGAACCATGCAAAGGTGGAATTGCCCATGGGCCTGGGGCCACCAGGGAGGCTGCAGCTCAGATTTAGTGCTGTGCCCTCAGGCACGTCCAGGCCTGGCTCAGCCACCACATGTACACCTGTGGGTGAAGGATGGGACGTGGTTAAGGATCAGCAGGCCTAGGGACTGGAGCTTCTGGGCTGGACCTCTGAGAGGCCCTGAACATGTGGGAGGGTCTCCATCTGACTTGGGATCTGGTCCTCCCAAGGTGGAGCTGTGGGTCCTCACAGACTGACCCTAAGGATGGGGCTGTCTCTCATTCTTGCATTGGTGGCTCCCAGGACAGAGCCGTGGCTCCCTATACACCAGGATTTCTGATGGATACGGCTGTGTCTTGCCTGTAGACTGGACTCACCCAAGGTGGGGCTGCATCTCTTCCCTCAGACTGGGCTCCCTGAGGGTAGTGCTGTGTTTCTCTTCCCATCCTCGGCTTCCCCAGGGCAGGATTGTGTCCCTACTCCCAGATGTGAGGGCAGAGCTATTTCTCCCCTCCACCCAAGCTCCCCTTGGACATTCCAACACCTCCTGTGGCCCATAGGAAGAGCCCAAGGGCAAGTCTGCCTCAGCCCCTCAGGCTAGGCACCCCACTCCAGTGGTAACTCGCTGCCTCCATCAGATTAGGGTTCACAAGGCAGGGCTGTCTCAGTCCAGGCAGCCCCCCTCTAGTAGGAGTCCTAACCCCTCACACGGGCTCTGGCAGGCAGCACCTGAACCCCAAACCGGAGCCCTCTCTTCCTCCCCTCTCCTGCTCACCTTGCACCTGTAGCTGCCTGCTGGTGCTGACCAAGCCCAGTGAATTTTGGGCGGTGCAGACATAGGTGTCATCACCACCCGTGGGCACGTTTTGCACCTGCAGCTGCAGGGCATTTCGGGCCACCTGCACATGGCCCATCCCCGATGCAGAGCTGTGGACCCCACTGCTAGTGGCCAGCACCTTGCCATTTTGAGACAGGCTCAGTTCAGCAGGTGGCTCGCTGTCCACAGTGCACTGTACCACGGCCATTGGCCTGGCTCTTGAGTCCAGGAAGGAAGACAGGACAGCATCCTGAGGAGCATCTAGAGGCAAGGCAGGGCACAGATGAGGCCCTGGGCCAGGCACCCGTGCTATCCACCTCTCGGAAGCCTCTGGACAAACGGTAACTTCTAGAAGTGACACTCGCTCAGGAGTCATGTGGACAGTGTCCAGGCAGGGTGCATAGCACGGTGGGTCTCTTTCTTCAACGTCTGTGTCCTTCTTTCTGCATATACCTATTCGGGGCCCACAGCAGCCTGGTGCTTGCCTCCACCCCAAGGCCTAGAAGCACCCTCCACCCTCCTCACCCCAGGCAGCAGACAAGGACCCCCTGCTCACAGAGAATTTGCAGGGCAGCAGGCCGGGAGCTGCGGGTGCCCTGGATATCCCGAACCTGGCAGGAATAGGCGCCTGCATGAGCCCGCATGGCTGCTGGGAATGACAGTGAGGCAGCGGGCCCCTCTTGAAGCCAGTGGCCGTTGTGGTACCAGGCATAGAGGATGGGAGGGCGGGAAGCAGGGTCCTCACAGGTCATTGTGATAGCAACCCCCTCAGGCACAGTAGCTGATGGAGCCAGGGTCACTTGCACACCTGTGCCAAGGAGGCTAGGATTAGCTAGGTCCCACTGGACATCACAGCTGGTTTCTAACCCTGTGGGCTGGCCTGGGCCTGGCCTTACCCTCCAGCCGCAGCTCCACTGATGTGTTGGCCTGGCCCAGAGGGTTGTGGGCGGAGCAGCTGTAGAGACCCTCGTCACTGGGCTGTGGCTCCCGCAGCTCCAGGCGCAGGGTGTTGGGGACAGAGGCTGTAGATGAGGAGGCCAGGAGGCGGCCAGCATGGCTAAGGGCCAGCTGGGCCGGTGGGCGGCTGTCCACAGTGCACAGTACCAGGGCTAGCTGCCCACCACGGCTCTCCAGGAGGTAGGTCAGGCGCAGGCTACGGGGCGCGTCTGCAGGGGTGTGAGAGGTAAAGAGCCCAGAGATGGCCACCTTGAGAAAGATAGTCTGCAGGTGGCATTCGAACCCAGGAAGGCCCAAGCTCCCCACCCTGGGCCCTCAGTCACTCAATCTGGGGCACTGCTCCTCTGCCCAGAAAGGACTTTTTCCCAGTGTCCCCCATTCTAATGCCCCTCATCTAATGCAACACTGACTAGCTGGGGACTGAGTTCCTGGCTGGCCACATATGAGGCTCTGGCCATGCTCTGATTCCTGTGGGCTGCTGTCATTGTCCCATCTGCTTCCGACCAGACTCACAAAGCACACCCAGGGTGACAGGTCTGGAGAGGTGGGGTGTCTGGCCAGGGGCCCCCACACCACAGCGATAGGAGGCAGCATCCATGACTGTGACATTGGGCAGGAGGATGGAGTGGGCACCTAGGCGCTGCTGCCCATCCTGGTACCATGTGTAGGTGAGCTGGGCCAGGCGGGTACTCCACACAAGGCAAGTCAGGTTCACCAGCTGCCCTTCCTGCACAGTGGTGCTGGGCCACACCTGCACGCTCACAGCTGGGGAGAAATAGGGCATCAGCAAGGAACTTGAGGCTGTGCAAAGCGGTGCCCGTCCCCCATGAGGCACGTTGCCCCTTGTGCTGGAGTCTCTTGGCCTCCATGAGCCTCAGGTGGCCTGCCTGGAAATAGGGCTGAGGGGTCATGCTTGGGAAGCAGATAGTTATCTAGCCGTCCAGGTAGAGCTCTGCAGGGCCCTGGAGCACACAGAGCCCCTTTCTGACCCTGGAGGCAGTAAGTGGGGAGAACACAGGACCCCCCACCCTGCTCTGCTATGGTTTCTTTTTGAGAGACTCCCTTTCTGTTTTGTTTTACCACTGGGCATCCATATAAAATTCTGTGTTTAAAAAAAGTCCTGCCATGAAACCCAGGTCTGGAGACTGCTGCCTTTGTAGCTGGAACTATAGGTGCCTGCCACCATGCTCAGCTAATTTTTCTATTTTTGGTAGAGACGGGGCCTTGCTCTTGGTCAGGCTCATCTTGAACTCTCCTGAGATCAAGGGATCCTCTTGCCTTGGCCTCCCAGAGTGCTGGGATTACAGGTGTGAGTCACCTCACCCAGCCCTCCACTCCTCTCTAGGATTACAGGTGTGACACACACACACACACTCACCCTGGGCATTGAAGTTGGTTGAGGCTGAGGCCTGGCCCAGGGTGTTGGTAGCCTCACAGGTGTAGATGCCCTCATCCTCCAGCACTGCCTTGTGGATCTCCAGACGCAGAGTGTTGGGGGCCACAGCCACCCGTAGCCGGGGAGAACTGCCTGCAAGTTCTCCCACACTTTGTAGGGTGGAGGCCACAAGGTGGTCCTCATGGATCAGCCGCAGCTGGGCTGGAGGGTCACTGTCCACATGGCACAGGAGAAGGCCCAGGCGCCCCGGGCCTGTGTCCATCAGGGTGGTAAGTGTGACCCGGCGTGGGGTATCTGCACAAGGCAGGGAGTGGTCAGGGCTCAGCCAGGGGTTCTCTCATCCAGGGCTCTGTCACAGAGCCTCATTCCCTCCCCCATATGTGGACCAGATAAAGCCCTTACAGGACACATGGAGGCTGACGGGGGCAGCCAGGTTTGTGGTGGCCAAGCCTGGGGCCTGGGCTTGGCAATGGTAGGCCCCAGCTTGTGCCAGAGTTATGGCTGCAAAACGCAGTATGGCTGAATTCGACTCCTGGAGCGGCTGGCCATCCCGATACCAGTGGTATGAAGTGCCCTCAGGAACTCCTGTGGGTACCTGGCAGCTCAGGACCACGGCCTGGCCCTCCTGGAGCTCAGGTGATGGGGACACCTGGACCCAGGCTCCTGTAGGGGGAAACCAAGAGCAGGTGAGGGCCCTCCACCATGCCTCCACAGCACAACCCAACCCCGTGCCTCCCCTCTAGACTGGGGCCCCCATCAGCTCTGTGCCTGGGCCTCTCCTGGTCCCCACCTGCCACACAGTCTCCATCATGGTGTTCACCACAAACCACTTAGCTGGACAGTTCTGCTCTTTGTCATATCTCACCTACCAGAGCATGAGCTTTGTGGGGATTGTGTGACCTCTAACCCCAGTGCCAGGCACTGCACCTGCGTATGTTATTTCTTAAGAAAAGAACTGAAGGCTCAGCGCCTGTGGCTCAAGTGGCTAAGGTGCCAGCCACATACACCTAAGGTGGCGAGTTTGAATCCCCAGCCCGGGCCTGCCAAACAACAATGATGGCTGCAACCAAAAAATGGCCAGGCGT